ATTTGAACAAGTCACAAACACCGCTACTTTATTGGAAAATGTTGACAATCAACAGTCACAATTCCGTAATACACGTTCAGTCAACAGAATAAGCAACAGGAACAAGAAGAATGCTTTCGAAACGATACCGTCGAAACAAGAAACAAAAGGAAACACTTCGAAACAAAACATCGTACATCTTAACAAGAGAACTGACTGCATTCGGTGTGGTTACAAGAAACATACACAAGGAACGAGCTGTCCCGCTGTCGATGCCACTTGCAACGCCTGTGGAGGACTGAATCATTTTGCACGCACTTGTCTTAAAGTGGGTAATGCAGTCATTATCAAAGGTAAGCGACTTAACATGTTAGAGGCAAAAAACTCGTCTTGTAACTCTAGTGTTAAATCTTTTTCTGATACAGATCAAATCCAAGCGATTAATAAAGGGTCGAAAGTAATGCTTTCAGTCAAGTTAAACAATCATACAATTTCAATGTTGTATGACCCAGGTGCAGCGTTCAGTATCATTAGCAGAAACATATGGCGAGATCTAGGAGCTCCTAAACTATTTCCCACAGAAAATCTTAATGCATACACAGGAGTTCTAATTGAAACTATGGGTAAAACGTATGTTTCAGTTGAAGCTTTTGGTTCCAAACGTAAGTTACCGGTAATTGTTGTTAAGAAAAACGATATACCTTTGTTCGGCCTAGACTGGGTTCTTGATTTTAACTTACCACTGCCACCTGGGGCTCAAATATGTACATTGTCCAAACAGCAAACAGAACAAGTAAGTGAACAGATTGTTAATGATATTGTTAACGGTTTTCCAGAAGTTTTCAGTCCCTCTTTAGGTACGATTAAAAATCACAAGGTATCTTTTCACATGGCTTCAAATGCAGCTCCTGTAGTTTCAAAACCACGGCCAGTTCCTTTTGCTTTACGGGAACCTGTGGAAAATGAAATTCAACGATTAGTAGACAGTGGAGTTTTAGAACCAGTCGATGCCAGGAATGAACCTATCATTTGGGCTTCGCCCATAGTAATAGTGGTAAAACCGTCTGGAGCTATCCGCATATGCGCGGATTTCAAAAATACTATAAACAAACATATGCTCCCCGATAAATATCCTATGCCTACATTCGAAGAGATCACCTCAAAACTTACAGGTGGCCAGGAATTCTCCGTCATAGATCTCAAAGATGCATATCTGCAGATGGAGGTCGAACCATCGGCACAACAGTACCTGATTATTTCTACTCACAAAGGATTTTTCAAGTACAAACGCTTACCCTTCGGAATCAAAATTGCCACCGGGGTTTTTCAGTGCAAGATGGATCAAGTACTGGCAGGCTTACATGGAGTCGCTTGTCTCCTTGACGACGTCATAGTCACAGCCCCAACGAGAGAGGAACATATCGAACGTGTCAAAGAAGTGTTAAGACGTTTTCAAGAATCTGGAATTCGTGTCCAGACATCAAAATGTAAATGGTTTCAAGATTCCGTTAACTATTTGGGTCACAGAATTGATAGAGCTGGTATACATCCAACGACAGAACATCTGGAAGCAGTGAAAAACATGCAATCACCGAAAAATGTGAAAGAGTTAAGATCATTTCTTGGGTCGATCAATTACTACAGTAAATTTATTCCCCATTTACAGTCCTTGTGTGTTCCATTACACAAACTGCTAAAGAAAGGCGTGAAATGGCATTGGAACGAAAACCATGAACAGGTAGCAGCAAAATTGAGGCATCTTCTTACTACAACAGACACGTTGGCTCACTATGACGAATCCCTACCTCTCATCCTCGCAACTGATGCGAGTGATATTGGTGTTGGAGCTGCTCTTTTCCAAAAGTATCCTGATGGGACTGAAAAACCTTTAGCTTTTGCGTCAAGGCGCCTTGATCATGCTGAGTGCCGATACAGCGTGATAGAAAAGGAGGCGTTAGGTTTGGTTTTTGGAGTAACTCGTTTTGAACAGTACCTTTATGGTAGACATTTCGAAGTTCGAACGGACCATAAAGCATTGGTTAAAGTCTTCGGTGAACATGATTCAATTCCGACGGTAGTTTCAAATCGAATCGCTAGATGGGCATTAACACTGAGTGCCTATGACTACTCGATCAACTATCAACAGGGCAAAGATAACAAAACAGCCGATCTATTATCAAGATTTCCCTTGCAAAATACGATAAAATCTACAGAGGAAGACCAGGGTGGCAGTAACAAAGCACACCTTTTCCATTTGCGTTCACAGGATCTACCAATATCGACAAAGTGTTTGCAAGAAGCGACAAAAACTGATCCAATACTTTCAAAAGTAGTAAACTATTTAAAAAGGGGTTGTTGGCCTTTGGAAAATAATGAAGACACTAACCTACAACCGTACTACAGCAAACGTGAAGAACTTTCCTTTGAGAATGGAATTCTACTTTGGTTTGGGAGATTGGTCATACCTGCGAAACTTAGATCAAGAGTGATGGAAATACTACATGAGGGACATCCAGGTATTGTAGCTATGAAAGGGAAGGCACGTTTTCAAGTCTGGTGGCCTAAACTGGACAAGGACTTGGAAGAACACACTAAACATTGCAATGGATGTCAAGAAAACAGAAGCAAAGATCCTGAAATGCCGTTATTATCATGGCCTGTTCCTGGAGAAGTTTGGTCACGGATCCACATCGATTTTGCCGGACCCTTCATGGGGAAAATGTGGTTGATTGTAGTAGATGCTCGGTCAAAATGGCTTGAAGTATTCCCGATGTCGTCAACTTCAACAAAGTCAACGATCAAAGCTTTAGAAGAGTTATTTTCAAGATTTGGCTATCCAAGGGTAATTGTAAGCGATAATGGACCACAGCTAACATCCTACGAGTTTCAAACCTTTTGTAAGAGCCTAAACATTAAACATGCTCGAATCACCCCCTATCACCCAAAAAGCAATGGGTTAGCGGAACGATGTGTTCGTACATTCAAAGAACGCATGAATGCTTCAAAAGGAAATGCTGGGACTTTCCAAGAAAAACTCAACAGCTTTTTATTTGCTTACAGAACGTCACTGAGAAGATCTACTGGAAAAACTCCAGCATTTATGATGTTTGGTCGCGAATTACGCTCTAAATTAGACATGTTGTTTCCTGACGTTGAGCAGAAAAACGACGAAGAGTTGGTTCAACAGCGGCTACAAAAACCTGGATCAAAAGAAAAAGTTTTTAAAGAGGACGACAATGTATGGGTACTAGACAAATCTGGAGCTGGTTTCAAGAAAGGAACGATTGTGAAAGTGAATGGTCCTTACTCATATGTAGTAAATACAAATGGACTAAATAGACGATGCCACGCAGATCAACTTCGTCTGGCTTAACTCTTAGAAGAAGGGGGGACGATGTAGTGTACTGAATCAGCTGATACAATTTAAATGTGTTTTCAATACTTTGTTTACATTGTTGTTTGTTTACGTTTGACATAACAACATAGTTACTTGGTGTTTCAAATATAACTTTTCTTACGAAAATGTCTTATTACTTTACATAATTAACTCACAGTACTACATGAACGGTTTCGCTAAAATTTGAAAATCTCAGTCTTTATTCTGCACTGTTACCAAATCACCTAAAAAGATAAATAAATATAAAGTTTATTTGTTTACTTATTTATTTTAATTAATTTATTTGAGTTTATTTTACCTACTGAAGGACAGTTCTGATCACTTCGCAAACAATGGTTATAGTGCAATAAATTTGAAACGTGATTCGACAATATCGAGTTTATAAGTTATAAATCACTTTTAAAGCAAATAAAAGTAATTTAACGTTGCATCGTTTGTTGGACCATTAATTTTTATGTGATTGTTCAGCAATCCGGTGACATTTTTGTTTTCATGAAAGCGACGATAGACATGAAATGTTTCGTTTCAATATAATTTTAAAGGAATTCGACGTTTGACGCATTTCATATGGTTTATTTACAGTTTCACCCTTGTCGGAATTAACCTTCATAATGTAGGAATACGGGTAGATTATTCTTTGAAGATATTTAAGTAAGACTGTTATTACAGTGTTAAAACTGACCAGGGCTAAATCGGTTTCTATAATCAACGGAATCACCATAGAAGAAATACTTTTATTTTATTTGTCAGGGCAGATGTAGGGTATGTATAACCTCAGACTATTTATATATAATTAATATATATAATATAAATATAAAATTTAGAAGGGAATTGCAAATCTTTTGGTTTGGGGGTTAAACGTGGAAAGGCCCAGATTTTACCCCAGAACCACCCTGCCTTTTCAAATGAGTTGCGAACTCGTTCGAATAGGTTCGTATGTTTACATGTTTATACAGTACCAAATTTCATCAAAATCAGACGATGTTTGTCGTTTATCGTGCTAGCAGACACACATGTATATTTCAATCACTCTATTACTTTTCATGTTGCAGAAAACCTATGTATTTAAAAAAAAGTTATTTAATTAGGGAAATTGTTCTTAAAATTTTAAGGAGATATTTTAGTGGATATGATCAGGCAAATGTAAATTCATTTTTGAATATACCTACCTTTCAGTTTTATTTAACTACACTTCCTCAGGTATAAACAAATGGATAGTATATTTTGAGATCATGGACATGGACTAAATTGCAAGACTTATCCACCACTTCCTTACCTTTTGTATTACAAATGTACATTTTCTTTTACCATATCTAATATAAAGCTTAATATTATTTTTTCTCAATAATTATCTATTTTTAACTGAAGACACTATTTAATTCATTGTGTATTTTTTTACCTCAAAATAAATAACAAACAACGGCTGTCACAAATCTTTAAATTGGAAACTACATTGAATGGGAGCCCCACGTCACCGTCGCGGTGGAGGACCTGTTGACTGTCGAGCCCATGTGACGACGTCCGCCGTCAAGCGCTACAGGTCTTGTGACGTCTGCGCACACCAGCGTCGCGACGCCCCGTCGTCGTCAGTCGCTAGCAGGACGTCAAAGTGTCGCGTCGTGGTAGTGAACTGACCTCGGTGTAGTGAAAACATAACCGGACTTACAACACTACCTTGGGGAACACCGATAGAAACAGGTGAGTCCCTAGTTTACCGCCTTGGGGGACCCCGAATTTATCCAGTGTATGCAGAGGGGGTTGGGAGGAAACGCAAAAAATACAAAATGTGAAATAACCCCTGCAGCAAACCTGTATACTAAGTGAATTTCAATTTGTATAGACTTTTACTAAATGCTTTCAGGAACAATACAAATTTATTTCCCGTTTGAATATCATTATATTAAGCAAGTACTAAGGTGCTACAGGGAAGGTAAAAAGTGTTTCTGATCAAATATTATTATTGTATGATGAAATAAATAAATTTGTCAATTTTGATAAAGATATTACCATACACAAGTGAACTATAACAGTTTTCTTTTCCTCCATAAAACTAACACAAATTTTAAATGCAGGCCTTAAGTTCTTATGCATTTTCTCCGTTAGATTCGATTTTAAAACAACAAGTCAATATACAAAGTTATTTGTTTTTTAAGCTCCACACGATGTCCAGATTGGAAATGTCCAAGTATTAAGGGTGAAAATTAAAAAAACCAAAATGTTTTCAAGATTCCAAACCCTTTAACACCCCGATCTTGCTGGTTCGCAACCTCATTCAAGTTTATCTCACTCTAAACCGAATGTGAGATTTGATCAAAATCGGACCAAAACACTCACTTGTATTGTATTTACTGACTAAAATACATGTAAATAAAACACAATATTATTACTGTAACGAAAACCTATTAATCAGCTTGCTATCGGCAACGAAGTTGTGTACAATTTATGAAGATTAAAATGTATCCAATGGAATGAAAATAAGCAAGATTCTTTATTGTTTTTAAAACATATTTTGGAGACGAGGAAATCTAGAAAATCACATTCTTTCAAACTGCATTTGGAAAAAGTTACCAGTTTTATAGTCAATGTAAAGTCCTCCATTTCAACCAAAGCGATAAAAAAAACTCAAGGAGAAAACAAGCGTCGATTAAAAAAGAATAATGACTACTTGTTTTGTTGGAAACAATTCATAAGTCTTTGGATAAGTGTATTTTATATGTTTAAGTTTGTTTTCAATATATTGTAATGTTGCATCACTATTAAATATTTCTTCATTGGGTTTAAATTTTTCAAATCAAGCAGAACGGAAACTTAATTCATCACAATTTCTGTCGTCATAAATATATTATCCTTACAAATCTCCTTATTAATTGCTAAAGAACAATTTGAGGAATAAATAATTAAAATACATAATGTATTTTTCTGTGTGAAAAATCACTTAGCTATTTTTACTTTAACTAGTCATACTAAATTACTACTTGAAATTATATGATGGAAGTTGACATGACAAAACGCAGGTTAATATGACTTTAACGTATGTAAATGGTTTAAAGAATTATTTGAGAAACAAATGCTAAAACACATAATTTATTTAAACAATAACTATCCAATGGTTGTTCACTGGAACACCACACAAGTTATTTGACAGTTTTTCAAATCAAGCAGAACGGAAACTTAATTCATCATAATTTCTGTCGTCATAAATATATTATTCTTACAAATCTCCTTATCAATTGCTAAAGAACAATTTGAGGAATAAATAATTAAAATACATAGTGTATTTTTCTGCGGGAAAAATCAGTGTGACATTTTTACTTTAATCATTTATACCCAATTGCTACTTAAAATAATATGATACAAGTTGACTTGACAAAACGCAGGTTAATATGACTGTAACGTATATAAATGATTTAAAGAGTTATTTGAGAAACAAATGCTAAAAACACATAATTCATTGAAACAATAATTATCCAATGGTTGTTCATTGGAACACCACACAAGTTATTTGAAAGTTTTTGCCTAGATTAGTCATATTATTTAATAGTCACTTTAGTAACCCATCGTGCCATTTTTCATAGTAAGCCCATTAAACTCAGGTTAATATGAATGTAACGGATTAAAAATGTTACCAGACCAATAAAAAATACACTATGTATTCTACAAACTAGGCCAATTATTTAGCCTTTTTAACTTGGGAAGTAATATTTAATCGTCACTAAAATAACACAAGTTAAATACATAAATGTTCTTAAAATGTTTTATTAATAAACAATAAAACATCCTCTAATTAGCAAACTGTACAAAATTATTTCGCCTTTTCACGTAGGCTAGTAGATAAAAATTTTGACCTTAAACAGATTTGAATATTAGTTTAACAGGTTTAATACTGCAAAAAACATATTTTGAGAGAAATTTTTAAGAGAAACAGGTGGGCCACCCCGCAACGGAAGCTGGTATTGATGTTCGTGCGGGCTTAAAACCCTTTTACCGGGTAACCCTACAAGTCTCAGTTTTCAATGTGGGGTGTGCTATAAAACACCAACTTTGGCACAAAATATACTTACGTTGAGTTTTATTTTTTGAACCACAAAATTTACATTTTTGGGTCCAGACCCTAGACCAGTTGCGTTTTCGAATGAAGACTCGAGAATGATTTTGAGAAAAAAATTCGAAGCTCCTTAAATATTTTTGGATATGTTGGGTTCGAACAAATTGTTCATTTACTTACATTTTAACCAATGGAAAAGGGAGTATGTTGTGTAGTATCTTATGTCAATTCATATAAGCTGGTGAGAACAGAAAATTTAATCTGAATCGTACTGATACCATAATTTAAAATACAGTATGACCATAATAGGGGTTTAAATAGGGGTTTTTAAATAATAATACTGGCAATAGCAGGTTCATATCGATGGGATATCTACTAAGTAAAAGTCAGTGCTACTACAGCATATGTACCAGAGTTTATACAGAACAGCGTACAGCAGATTAAAATGTGCTATTCTGTAGGTTAAAAACTATCTAACTTCTTAAAAATAAATATTAATCTTTCTTTGGTGGTTACTTATCACGAAATAACATACAATTACAAACAAGTGGTATATTTCGTGGTTTTCGCAAAATCCTTTAGCCTCTGAAAACAACTTATTATACCCCGAAATATACCACTTTTATAGTAATTGTATTATTTAGTGATGAATAACCACCAAATGATGATTCCACCACGAATAACATGCCGGAAAGAATCAACTCTTAAAAATATTCTTATTTAAATAGACGCATAAAGTATGTAGAATTATTTATAAACCAATTTTAGAACGCAATTACAAAGCTTTATAGTTTTTAAACTAATACTTTATTGAATTCTAGTAGGAAAAGATGACTTAAGCTGTAAAAGTAATAATTATAAAAATTTGACACATTACAATAATCAGTATAATCACTTTGAATAAAAAAGGCTTATCCCCATGAACACAAACAAAAAACTCAATATTAATACTGCTACAATGGAATGAAAAATAAACCCGTTATGTAGTATCATTTAGTATAGCCTACTCGAATATACTCAATAGTATACGTGAAGTTGAAAAACAAATACAAATCCACAAAAGTAAAAATTAATCTAAATAGATGATTACTAATATTGTTTCAACTTATTATTGCATTTTAGTGAGTTTCTTTGTACTATGAGAATTGTGCCAATGTTCAAAACTAGTTGGACACTAATGGAAAAGGGCACTGGGTATTAAAATGTTATCCGAGTTTTGAAGAAAATATTTCCCTTTAGAGATTTTCTGACTTGAAAATATAATATATTTTTTGAAAGTCAAATTATGAGGGCTGCCACAGACCATGTTTACCTGCCTTGCAACAATACGTTTGGCGTAAACGTGTTCTGTGAAGTGAATTGTTTATAACTGTTGTTTCTCTCTACTGTTGTTCTTTGTTCCGGTTGAGGCTAGAACAAACAAACTGTTGCAGTTCTTTGAAGTTTGCTCCAACTAGATATGAGAACTACACTCGCGACTTTGTGTTGTAGAACCTTGGTGAGTTTTAATCCTGGTGTGTGTTTAATTTTTGTTTTCGAAGTGAATCAAATAATTGAATGCAGGAAAATGGTGCTCAAAGGGTTAACCAAAATTATTTATAGTTTATTTATAGTTTTACCCTCAAGTTTAAAAATTTATTTCCAAGCTATTTTGTGGAGCTTAAAAACAAATAATTAACGTACAAAAATGTGATGTAGGAGTATTTGTTATGAAAAAAAAGAAAAAAAATGTAAACTTAGAGTTTCTAAATTATTTATATGGAGCATAAATTAACTGTTGTAGTTTGTTTGTGTATAACTTCACTTAGTCCTACTTTGGCAATTCTTTTTATTTCGGAAGCTATTAACATTTCATAGAAAATAGTCATATTATGTTCCCTGTAGCAGTAAACCTAAGTACTCATTTCACCTAATGCTGTTTAAATAGGTAATGAATTTGATATTTTAAGGATATATTTTGATGAAAATCGAATCACCCAAATGGACATCCACTTGGTCTGCAGGATTCCTGCGGAAGCATCAAATTTGTATTCTAAAACTGGATAGAGTAATTTGCTTTGCATGCTGCAAATAGATTAATCTATTCAGTTATAACATTTTAGTCTGTTTGTGTATCCTTAATGATGGTAAAGTTTGGAGTAATATGTCTACTAAATGTTTGTCTATGATTTTACCAAAATCTAGAGTCAAGTATTTGTACTACTGGTTGGTTTTGATACCAGAGGTCAATCTATGGCTCTCAACTACTGTAGATCTTTTATATGATCCAAATGGTTTAAAATTGAGATGATTTCTCTGATATGGAAAAATGATAAACCCACTCTCTACGAAAACAGGATGGAACTTAACTTACAATTGTCTTCAGCTGATAAGATATATACGTTTATAAGGACGTTATTGGTCATCATGCAGCTTTAGCAGGGGAATAGAATTACGAATCGGAGTATGTTACAATTTTTTTAAATTTATTTATAATTTAAACGTTATTCTAGTGCCTTAATTAAAAATCGGTAAGAATTTGGATTAGGATGATGCATTTTGCGTTCATCTGTCCACTTAGTAAATAAAAAGATTTTATATTGACTCACACTTATAGGCCTAATTTATTGCAACGTTTGTAACCTATTTTTGATCAATTTGTAAAGCTTAAATT